ACATTGTTGTCGATGCGCTCAATAGATCCGATTGGACGCCACTTATGCTCGCCTTAACCAAAGACAACAATTTGGATGTAATCCGACTTTTGGTCCACAAGAAGGCGGATGTGATGCTGAAGAACAAAGACGGTTGGAATGGCTTTCACGTGGCCGTCAGGACTGGAGATTTGCCACAAATTGAGTACATCTTGTCGTGCGATCGGAGGGTCTGTCAGACCAGAAGCCGAATCAATAGAAGTCCATTACATACGTCCGCCCTCTCAGGCAATCACTCAATTGTGGACTTTCTGTTAGACAACTGTCACTACAACAGCGATGACAGGGATTCTTGTGGTATCACTCCTTTCATGGAGTCTCTGAGGAATGATTGCGTGGAAATCAGTCGTCTATTACTCCGAAAGCATAACATCGATGTGAATCTGACCGACAAATTGGGCCGAAATGGTCTGCACGTGTGTAGCGAAACCAATGCCGTGAATGCCATCAAGTATTTGGTGAATGAATTGAATTTTGATGTCAATTGTGTGACAACTGTCGGTCACTTAACGCCACTTCATTTGGCGGTCAAAGAGGGACACATTCAGACCATACGATTGCTGTTGGATTTTGGGGCCGACATTGATTTGAAGGACAGTAACGACAGAACTGCTGCCGATTTGGCGATTCTTCTCAAACGCTACGGTTGTCAACAGATTCTGAATTGTGTTTAATTTTATTTGAAATGTAAGTATTGGTTAAAATATTGAGTAAATCTACAAATGAAATATAATATCTGACTATAAAAACAGTTGCCATTAATAATGTATTTAAAATTAGATTCAAAACTGGAGCTTAAAAGCTATATTCAGTGACATAGATGTAAAGTATGGCTTTAGCGGAACCGCCATAAGTGCCGCCGTGATAGAGCTTCACCTCTAAATCCAATTCAATGTCTTGCGGACCCACTATTGGTTTAGTCAACGACACCATCGCCTCGTTATACGCGGTTCGCCTCATTTGGAAGAAGTCTTTTGTGGCCGGAGGGACGCCGTACTTACCAAACCATCAAGTATTTGGTGAATGAATTGAATTTTGATGTCAATTGTGTGACAACTGTCGGTCACTTAACGCCACTTCATTTGGCGGTCAAAGAGGGACACATTCAGACCATACGATTGCTGTTGGATTTCGGGGCCGACATTGATTTGAAGGACATTAATGGCAGAACTGCTGCCGATTTGGCGATTCTTCTCAAACGCTACGATTGTCAACAGATTCTGAGTTGTGTTTAATTTTATTTGAAATGTAAGTATTGATCAAAATATTGAGTAAATCTACAAATGAAATATAATATCTGACTATAAAAACAGTTGCCATTAATGTATTTAAAATTAGATTCAAAACTGGAGCTTAAAAACTATATTCAGTGACATAGATGTAAAGTATGGCTTTAGCGGAACCGCCATAAGTGCCGCCGTGATAGAGCTTCACTTCTAAATCCAATTCAATGTCTTGCGGACCCACTATTGGTTTAGTCAACGACACCATCGCCTCGTTATACGCGGTTCGCCTCATTTGGAAGAAGTCTTTTGTGGCCGGAGGGACGCCGTACTTACCAATGGTGGCTGAGTTGAGGTTCAGCTCGAACTGAACAGTGGTCACCGACAGCACCGGTCCTCTCATCGTGAATAAGTCGAGATAACCGGTCGACGGGATTGTCATGTTTGATGTGAACGTCAAATAGTTGTAAGTATAGGCCATCGGGTCTCTCAAGTCTTCCGAAATGCACGTCTGATCCGTGCAAACGGCTGTTCCGTGAGTTTTCTTACATCGACTGTTGATAATTAGGTATTTATAAAATATATCAATGTTTAATATTTCACACCTTTTATGTGTTGTGTCTCTTTCATAGCCATTCGGACACTCAATGCGATTACATTTGAAACTTCCCCTCGTATTGAGACAGATCTGGTCATCTCCTCTGCATTGATTGCTTTCTTCGCATTCGTTAATGTCTTATATAATTGGAAGAAATTAATATAAAATATTAACCAAAGTATTGTACAAATGCTAAATTGGCTCAAATAAAGTGATTTTCAATAAAATGATATATTAAATGACTGGTATTCATACCCTGACACGTCCTCTCATCAGTTCCGAGTCTATACCCTACAGGACAGGAGCACCGGAAGGAACCGGGAGTGTTGTGACACTTTCCCACACAGAGATAGTACTCTTTGGACACATCCTTCTTCTCAAATTCGTCGCACTCGTCGACGTCAACGCAAGTCCTGTTATCCGTCGATATCTTAAATCCTGATTCGCACGAACACTGATACGATCCCCACGTATTGAAGCACCGGTCAGAGCATCGGTGGCCGGACTTGCATTCGTCGATGTCTGTGCAGAAGCGTCCAGAGCCGTCCTCCTCGAAGCCATGCTTGCATTGGCACCGATAGGAACCGATTGTGTTGACACAACTGGAAGTGTCCGGCGAACAGACGGTGGAGCCATAGCGCGTGCATTCGTTGATGTCTTCGCAATCGCGGTTCTGATTGAGAATATAGCCTAACGGACACTCGCAGATGTAATTGCCGGGTCTGTTGCGACAGATTTGCATTCCTGTGCACTCGTGGGTCCCCTCAACGCACTCGTCGATGTCTTCGCACGCATTGCCTGTACATAACAAATAGATAGCAGCAAATAATAGAGTCGATGGGATTTACTATTTTGATAATCACAAAAACCAACCATATTTGGTGGGCTGATAGCCAGGCGTGCAATAGTGTGTACACCGATAACTGCCAACAGTGTTGATACACTTCTGGTTGGCAGCGCACGGCTGGTTCAGACACTCGTTGATATCGACACACCTGTTGTAAGTGTTATTAAACATTTTTCCGCCCTCACATTCATTTGGCCGACAGTTGCCATCCATAGTCAAGTGCTGGCCGTACGGACACGTGACGCGATCGCATTTGAACGAGCCGTCAATGTTTCTGCACCTGAAGTCTTGGCCGCAGTTATCGATTCCGACTTCGCATTCGTTGATGTCTTCGCATAAGTCTGTTTCGGCGTTAATGGTATAACCGGTGCCGCAGTCCTGCACACGAACGCAATGGAAAGAGCCGATAGTGTTGTCGCAGCGAAGTGTGTGATGACAGGTATGAGTTCCCAATTGGCATTCGTTCACATCTTTACACTCTCCGGTCACACCATCTTTGATATAACCGGCCTTTCAATCAAATACTTATTATTAATTATCTCACAATTAGATATTAAATTGCATTCAATTACCTGACAATAACAGACATAACTGCCGACTGTATTACGACAGCTCTGTTCCCGACGACACGGCATATACTCGGTCTCGCATTCGTTGATGTCTTCGCACTCTCGCGACCATCGGTTGCGTCTGAATCCCGGCAAACAGTTGTCGTCTTCGCTGTT